CCCCCCCAGCCTGTCCTGTCGGGGTATCTGGGGACCAAGGCTCAGAGCAAGCCCCAGGGAGCCTTCAGCACATGGTGCAGAGGCAGGAGTGGGGTCTACAGGAGCAGGTGGCCTCCCTGGCTCCTGTCCCCAAGGCTCCGCTTGCCTCTAGCACAAGCACTTCACCGAGGACATCCAGACCCGGCAGTACCGCGCCGTGGAGGTGCTGATCGGTGCGGAGTACGGCCCGCCGGCCGACATCTGGAGCACGGCGTGCATGGTAGGCCCGGCTGCCCCCGGCCCAGGGCCGGCCCCTGCGGCAGCCTCACCTTCTCCCCCTTCCAGGCCTTCGAGCTGGCGACCGGCGACTACCTGTTTGAGCCTCACTCTGGAGAAGACTACAGCCGTGATGAGGGTAGGGGAGGCAGGCCTGGCCGCTGCCCTGGGACCCCTGCCTCCCGCGGGCCTCCCAACCTGCTCTCTGCCCACAGACCACATCGCTCACATTGTGGAGCTTCTGGGAGACATCCCCCCAGCCTTCGCCCTCTCGGGCCGCTATTCCCGCGAGTTCTTCAACAGGAGAGGTGGGGCCCCAGGCGGACTCAGGCCACCTGGCCGTGGGGAGAGTGGGGCCAGGACTGCAGGCTCTAAAACAGGAGATGCTGGGTGGCAGAAGCTGGAGGCCTTCCTGGCAGAAGCAGCCTAAGCCCCTCCCACCCGCAGGGGAGCTGCGGCACATCCACAACCTCAAGCACTGGGGCCTGTACGAGGTGCTCATGGAGAAGTACGAGTGGCCCCTGGAGCAAGCCACACAGTTCAGCGCCTTCCTGCTGCCCATGATGGAGTACCTGCCCGAGAAGCGGGCCAGCGCTGCCGACTGCCTCCAGCACCCCTGGCTCAACCCCTAGGCCCGCACAGCTCTGGGTGGCTCTGGGCCCGGCTCCCCGCCCCCCACGTCCTTCAGGACTCTCCTGTGTGCCCCTCCCGGAGGGCTCTCTGGGCGGGAAAGCGTGCATCTTTCTTAATAAAGTGTGAACTGCGACCCGGCGTCCTGGAGCGAGAAGCCCGGGCTGAGGTCTGGGGCAGAAGCTGCTTTATTCTGGGCCCTGCCCACCGAGCCGCCGTGGTGCTGCAGTGCCAAGGGGCTGCCTAGGCCTCCACAGCCCGGCCGTTGATGACACGGATGTGGCGGATGATGTCCTGGATGGCTTCCGACGTGGTGCCCTGGCCGCCAATGTCTGGGGGGTGCATCTGTGGGAGGCTGGGCCACT